TTAGGATTTTCAAAAAACCTGGTCTCTTTTAAAATCCCTTTAATATGTTCTTACGTGGTTTTCCAGATGTAGTGACAACAACATTAAAGTTTAAAGAAGAAAATTCTAACATTTAAACCGACTAAACAATAACATAGTAAACTTGCATAATTAAACAGCAACTAAAAATTATAGGTTTTACTAAATAAAATCTTTTCCTGTGCAATTATTACCAGCATTGGAGACAAGGATAATAGTTTGTTTGAAAGAGAAAAGAACAGGCTTTGAAGTAAACCTAAAAGCGTTTAACTAGAAATAGTATTTCGAAAGTTATTAAGCACAAAAGATGAATTGCGTTTATTTTGATACACCCTGTATATATATACATATACATACATACATATACATACATACATATACATACATACACATACATACATACATATACATACATATACACATACACATACATATACATACACATACATAATATATACATACATATATATACATACATATATGTATATATGTATATATGTATATATGTATATATGTATATATATGTATATATATGTATATATATGTATATATATGTATATATATGTATATTTAACAGATAGCTATACTTCGAAATAAGTCTTGCTCGTTGAGTTTCAGCAATGTCCAGAGAGCAATGTCAATGCAAGGAATTTTATAGTCCATAAGAACACGGGTTTTAATCCTGTGCTATCACAAGTCAAGATACAGTAGCATTATTTACAAACAGTTGGCGATGTTTCGGAAACCAAAAGATCACGTTATAAAAAAATCTGTTTGAATATCGGACAGGATACACTTTAATTTAACGGCCAGATCGTTCGTTTGATCAGTCGGTCGGTGTGGAAGATATTAAAGTAGCTTCTACGATGAAGCGTGCTCAACTTCGCAAGCTGTAGGTAGCGTGTGGTGTTCTTTCCTAGCAATTGAAATATGATTCAGCTTCTTGTTTGAAATGTAACTCAATACTCATTATTGATGACATTGATATAGCAGGAAGTCGTACGTGTCATGATAAATAGAATTTTTAGTAAACAGAGAACACATAAGTTGCAATTTTCCAAACACGACAAACCACTCCTCTACCACCCTACCCATAGACACAATTTATTTTAGCACGCAGAATCTGCATGCCACGTGACCAGCCCCAGCCAGCGTCTATGCTTCCCAAGAGCAAAGAGCCTGGGAACGAGGTTGGGAAAAACCATGGGAATTTCACGGGACGAAAAAATAGGATCCGACTAAATTTGGCAAATGTCCAAGCAACTTTTGCTCGGGATCAGATAAAAAAATTGTCACATACATTTTTTGTTGTGACAAAATCCGATTCCAAATTCACTCAATTTGCATTTTGCAATAAAACTTACAAGGCGTTCTAGCATTCACTTTAGAGTTTACTTAACGTTGCACCGGAATGGCATACATACTTGTCTTGTGACTTACAGTATATATGTCTTGTGACTTATATATATCTAATTGTGACATATATATATCCGACCAAATTTAGTGATGTTGGTTTTTGTCCGACAAAATTCAAGTTATGTCCGACCAAATTAAAATTAAAAGTGATCGGACAAATGTCCTGTCAAGTCAAATATTTATTTGCAGCCCTGCTGAAATGTATAGCGAATGTGAGCAGACGTTACTGTAGGTGGGGCGTCGGCCACTAACAACGTCTGCGCAGGAGGTTAGCTCTAATCAAGCAGGGCTAGTATTGCCAAGAGACTGCTACACTAGCTGATGTAAATAAAATTACTAAAATTTTCAAGCAACATGCTCCTCTTGCGCAGTTTAACGTGACTGTGTAAACGTATATTAAAAGGATGTACTGTAATTTCCTGCCCCCCCCCCCCCTAGACTAACAAAGATTCGTCAGGTGAAACTAATGTAAGTATTTTTTATAGAAAATTAAGCTTTTAATGTCAGATAGCTCTGCTTGAAGAACACACATACAGTGTCAGGGCCGTAGCTAGCATGTGTAGTTTGGGGGGGAGGGGGAAATCCGAATATTTCATGGCATACGAAGCCGCGAAGGTGTTTGCTATTCGGGAAATGAAGACGCAATTTACAAACAAAAATACGCATATTTTACGCAGACATATTACAGAAGTAGGCAGTGCTGTAGGAAGCCTTTTTATTGGGGGACTGAAAACGAAAGCCCGAAGAAATTTTAAATTTAGAGTTTCTGAAATACCATTTTCTGGACTTTGGGGAAGATTTGACAGAATTCTGATGGTCAGAAAAAGGCGTTTTAGTATGTCGTAATTTACAATTTGCTTACAATTTAGTAGCGAAAGCCTATTTAATTAACTATATATTGGAAAATTTGCAGGAAAGTATGGGTAATATGATTCTTTGCAGTTTGTCATGGATAATGTAGCCGCTTAAAATTAATCAACTGTCAATATTTTAAAGGTATATTATTTGATAAAGGTCTGCATGATTTTGAAGAAAGAATAATTTTTATCAAATTATTGAGGGGGCTGCAACCTCCCCCCCCCCTCCCCAGTTGCTACAGCCTGGAGAAGAAAAAAAAAGGAAAAATATTTACCGATTTACCACTTGTTAAATGTTATCCATGTAAATGCCTTGATTTCGTAAATCATTTTAAACTACTGACAATACAACTATATTATTTTTTCTCTGTTTAACAACTAAAATGTTGTTATACTATTATTGCCGTAATTTTCCGAATGGCCAACCCGATTTTCCGAATATGTTAATTCTAAAAAAGTTGGGCGGGTTAAACCCC